AGAAATGCATCCCCAGTGCAGCTACCAGGAGAGGGCATTACAGCCGCAGGAATGGGAAAGGAGCAGCCTGAGCAGCCTCTAAATTCTCCCCAGACGTGAGCCTGGCGACCAAAACCTGGAATTGCTCTCGGTGCTAAAAATCAGGGATGCAGAAAAAACATCGTCTGCATGGGGGGATAATGAACCCGTTGTACCTACCGGCATCAATTCTCCTAGTATTCATTTCCCCCTTTTTTCTCCCATATAAACGAAGATCTGCAGAAAAACCCATAAAGATTTAGATGCTAGCTTGCTGTCTGGCTTAGAGCTAAAGTTGTGTGTTCCCCAGAGCTTCTCCTCTGGCTTCCACCCTTTCCCATTTCACACTAATCCTGCTCTAACACAAGGCATCGCCTCTCCTTAAAGCTTAGCAATAGGTGGGGCTGCGCTGGAGCCATACAGGAACTAAAAGGCCAAAACACTGCATTTAGGTATGAAAAAGTCAAAGTTCAGAAGTTTGGAGTAGGTGCCACCTCCAAAGAAATGCACGTTGAGTTGCCATTGTGGAATATACATGATCCCCGATCTGGCAGCACAGCCATGCAGAGCCACCAAACACCAACCCAGTCACCTGTTTCATGTGCACATTTTGGGGGAGGACACATAGCAGGACCACCAGTCTGCCAGGTACCAAACCTTCTGTAGTTTTACAGGGGGAGGAAGAAGAGGAGGAGGGGGCTGCAGCACCAAGATGCTCTGGCTCTAACGAGATGAGGACATCAACACGGGATGCTACAACATCTCAGCAGAGAATCCCAGCCACCTGGGCTGCTATCTTCCTACTCAAGAGACAGGAACCTTCATTTTTGTCCAAAGAGCTCTTGCAAAGCATCAGTTCTGGACACAGAGGAGGAATTTAAGAAGTAACCTGCAATTGCCTTATTCTAATTGGCTAGATGCCCATTCAAGGCATTCCCCTTCCTTCCAGCTTCCTCTCTAACACACCAGGCTCAGCACCCCGACTTGGAAGAGCATGGCAGATCTCCACTCCTGGCAACCCCCACATTCCCAGGAGAATGACTTCCCACCAGCTTTGGTTTGTTTGGCTCCTGACACCCAGATCTGCCCAACAGCCACAAGCAGACAGCCAATTTCTGAAGGGTTTTGGTGGTGGTGGACACATCCTGTCCAACCTGTGGTTGATCCAAGCTGCAATGAGGTACTTGTGCAAACCAACCTGTAGGTGAATTCTTTTCACCATCCTCACCCTACTGATCCCACAAGAAAAAGCAGTGCTGGAGGAAGCAGTCTGTACATGTTCTCCTGAATCCTCCTGTTTCCTTCTCTGCATTAGGAGCCAAGGACACCAAGTTCTACCTGGAAAGAAAACAAGCAACTGGGAAGCCAACATCCTCCACTTCTTCTCCTCCTCAAGCTGTGGTCTAGATCCTCTTCCAGATATTTCTCAGAGCATTAATTGCTTCCAAATGAATTTTGATAAAGCAGCAGAAATCACATTTACTTCAACAGTTTTCAGTGTAAAATCACTCTGCTCTACCAAGTAAGATCTAATTAAAATAGACCAGAGAAACACAGCTTCTCTTTCAAGCATCCCACTCATTTCTGCACACGTCGCTGAAACAAAGTGAAGTAGAAGCAGGTAATTCATTCGGGTTTTATTTAAGGTTTCAATTTTGTTTTCCAAACGGCTGAGCTGACCTTGCACTTCAAACAAATTGGGCACCATCGGAGAGCGATGCCACGACAGTACGAAGAAAGAGGAGCAAACTTCCTACCTGATTTTATGGCCACAGCCCTCGTTATTTCCCAGCAAACACACGGATGATCTGCCCACAGGTCAATGCTGCAGTGGAGCAACAAAGCCTTCGCTGCAAACATGATCCCAAAGCACGGCAGCTGTCAACACGAACCCAAAGCAGTGCTGATGGTGCTGAATTGAAAGATGGGAATGAGTTTCTTGCCATACGCAGGAGCCTGATTTACATTTGCTTCTGTGTTCTCGTGTACCTGAAAAATCTGGCCTCTCTCCATTTCCTTGGCACAACAAGGCTACCTCTTCCATTCAAACATCCCCTTTTTCTTTCCAGCTGAAATTTGTTACTCTTGCCAACCTCCTGGATTGGCTCTAGTGGGATCCCCCCACTCCTTCCTGAATTTCCCCAGGGATTGTGGAACTGAGCTTTTAACCTCTGCTTCTTCCTTGGACCAACACCACCTTCTGCTCCTTTTCCAGAGGCATCCATACTGTCTGCAAGTTTCCATCCAGCTCCCATACGTATTGCTGCTTTGTCCCCTCTGGCACTTCATCTCCTCCTCGAGACCCCACATGTGATGCTGTGATCTGTCATTGGCTGCAAACGATGGGATCAGCCCTAGGACAGCAATGATCTTTGCACTTGATCCAGTGGGTTTACAGCACCAAAATACATCCACAGGTTCTCTACTATGATGACAATGAGAAGCCATTGAGAAGCGTTGGTGTTTCACGCTAGGAAGATGAGCAGAGAATCGGACTTCATCTTTAACAATTTTAATTTCTTTGTTAAGAAATTTACAACTTTACAATTTTATAATAACTTCTAGACTTTTCTTTATGGTAACAGTGCACAGGTTGCCCAAAGAGGTGGTGGAGTCTTCTTCTATGGAGATATTCAAGACCCAGCTGGATGCCTACCTGTGCCACCTATGTAGAGTACTTGCAAGGGGGTTTGGACTCCATCTTTTGAGGTCCCTTCCAGCCCCTGTGTTTCTCTAATATTTAAATTATTATTGAGTGTACAAATAGAATTGCCAGCTCTTAGTTAAGAAAGATGCTCAAATATCTTCCCCCTGGGTCTTTGGTGTGAACCTTTCATTGTCTGCAAAGACTGGCAAATTTAAAAGCAAGTACCAACCTACCACTGGCCATTTCAGACCATTCTTGCTAAGTACTTTGCTGCAAATATCACCTATTGATACCAACCTGTGGTATTTTGAAAGACAGATGCATTAGGACAGCAATGGAAATCCCAGCTCTGAAGTGACTTTACATGCTTCAGGGTTGGTGGGACGGTGGTGATGGGTCAGCAGTTGGATTAGATGATCTCAGTGGTCTTTTCCAACCGTAATGATTCAGTGGTTTGTAAGCTGTAGTGCATTATACGACTTCTGCACCTAACCCGACAGACTTGCCTAAGATCCCTTAAAAAGGAACCAGGTTTTCAGAATGGATAGTCAAACAACTTCATATCGCATGTTCTAATATAGAAGAGAATCTAGAATTAATAATCAAATAAATAATTGAGGGCTGTGACAACAAGGGGCTCAGACTCGGTAGAATCAGTTCACACAGGTTCAAACAAATGAAAAACCAACAGGAAAGCCACCAAAGCAGCTCTCTAGTGAAAAGCTGTTCTCAAATCACAGCAGTCAAAATGTCTGCAGAAAAAATAAGCCACAGAGGTGACTTTCCAAGTCATTCAAGAGCTATTTAAGAGCTCTCGTTACGTGACAGGAATGTGCTACAAGAGCTGATACAGGTGCTGAAACCAGCTGATGGAATGGAGAAAAGGATGCATCTGAGAATGAAAAACATACCTAAATCCTCCTGAGCTTCAGGTAACTACAATTCTTATTTCTATTAATACGATATTTCTGTTAATTCAGAACTGGGGCCAGGCACATCACAGCAAGTTGACTTCTTTCTCATCACAGGTGGGTTAAAAAAAAAAAGCCTGGGACAGGCTGATGCACCACTGACACTTCCTTACATCTTCCTTCCTCTTGAGCAGCTGGTAGAAACCAGCGAGGACTAATCCAAAAAGCTGAAGTTGAGAGATGGAAGCAAACCATCAACGTAAGGAAAGGAATAAAGACGTTCATGTCCATTCTTTTCCAGTAGGCAACAAAGAATCCAAGAGAGGAGCTCATGGAAACAGAGATGGAGATGGAAATGGAAATAATCCTTTTCATCTCCTTCATGGAAATGTAGGAGTCCTCCTGCAGAAAAATAAGCTCCTGGATGTGCTGGCAGGTAGGGCATACCTGTGGTATGATTTGCAGCTCCATGGCATACCAAGGGGGGAGTGGGAAAGGAAGGTGAAGGGAAGTCAGGGACAAACAGAGCATTCACTGGGGGCTGGAACTCAGATCTCTGAGGTGTCTTCCAACCTAAGCTATTCTATGACACATGGGTCATGTGCTATCGTAAGAAGCCAACTGCTCAGTCTGTAGGACCAGAGCCACATCAGGTTTTAGTTCAGCCAGATCTAGTCCATCATACCCATCTCCCCACATATGCCATTCTGATACTTCACAGGTGATAAGAACAAACTCTTTATCAAAGACAACGATTCAGGAGTAGTGGCCTCCCCCTTCCCAGTCTCACCTAAGCTGCAAGCAGAGCAGATTCCCCCAGGGCTGCCAGCTTTGCCCAAGGAAATTCATCTTGTGAGGGGAAACCTCTCAATCTTACATGAAGATGAAAAATCTATACAAAGGGACACAGACAGCAGATTTGGCAACAGACTTCAGACATGGTAGCCTCAAATCAAAGAGTGACCACCCTGTGGCACAAAGGGTAGGAAGGCACCAATAAAGCAAGAGACTTTGCAAACTTTATCTGCAAAAGCAGGGTAAGGGCTGTCACATATTGTACAGTGAGTGGAGAAAAACATACATTCAGAGGACAGCCTGGGGCAGAAAGGAAAGGACTGGTTGAGCAGCAAGAAGCAGCAATGAGTTTTTTGTGCAACACAAGTGTTTAGGTGAGGGAGGGAAACTTACTCCAAAACTGATTTAAACTCATTCCTTAAATAACCAAAGCAATATGTACAGCAAGATCTTTTATCCTTTCCCTTGATGTGTAGTTACTCCCCTTCAGGACCACTTGTATGCCATAGGGCTACAGAAGCTTCCATCCTTGTACTTTCAAGCACCCAGTGACAGTAACATGAAAAATAATCCCATCTGACAGAAGTGTTGGGTGACAGTGAATTCTCCAATCCTCCCTCAGCCCCAGGTTAAGAAATTCAACAGTCATTTTATTAAAAATCAGTATACAGTTGAACATAAGCCCAGTGTTTACAACCAATCTCTCTAGTAGTTCCGGGTTTCCTGTTGTTCTTTTACAGATCATTAGCAACCAAAGGAGTCAGTAGCATACAGATACCAGGTTACTCTCTCATTCCAAGAAAATTAATGCTTTCCCTATGCTTTCAGGAAAACAGCGTCCACGACCAGTTTGTTTTCTGTTGGACTTGGTCTAAGAAAAACTCGTTGTCAACAACATCTTGCAGGCAAATCTTATCTTTATAATAGTAATTGCTCTGTTTGCTTTGTCATACAAGGCAGGTCTCTATGAAGCCTCAGAGCGCTGATACAATAACCCCCAAAAGGAATCTTTATTCATTTTATCTTCTGATTTTTCTAGAATATCACAAATATTTGAAATCTGTTTAACCAGTTGAGCTGAAACAAAAGCGTGTGGGGAGAGGCTTTGATTCACACCATTTGGCCAAAAGATCACCCGTGAATTAAGCTGTCCAGCAGCAGCAGGAAGCACACAGAGGCTTTCTCCTCTCTCCCTCGAAGCATCCAGCAGTGCTGCAGGAGGGCTGCATCTTCCTGCCCTCACTCCCTTCTCAGTTGTTAGAGCTGTTCAAATTGCTGCTGCTGCTTCGTTCCTTCCTCGACTCATCCAAAGCACAGAGCAGATTCAGTGGTGTAAGAGCAGCTTGGCAGAAGCAGGAAGAGTCCAGCCAGCAAAAGATTTCATTTATTAAGATAAACACAGTCTAAGGTTCCACATAATTTTTAAAAAATAAACACAGTAATATGAAAACAAACTGGCTTTGTTACAGGCTTGGATGTTCCCAGATCTTCCTGGCCGTAAAATATATCCTTCCCCTCCTGCCCCCATGCAGGCAGATGGAAAGGCAGTTTGCTCTGTACGATCAGCAACGTTCCACATTCAGCAAACGGTTCCTCTGCTACCCTTCAGCACAGACCAACATTTTAAGAACATCCTTGTGAAGGCAGGGCAGGAGGGAAGGAGAGGAGCAGGGAACTCAGTCTCTCAAATGGACATCTAAAAGGGTTTGACACGATGGCTGACTATGTTAACTCCATCACTTTAATGGTTGTTCTTTGCTGCCTCTTTAGCAGCAATAATTAGAGGAGTGAGGCTAGAAAGAGGCTTTGCGATCTTCAGGAACTGGTGCTAGCAAAAGGGAAAAAGAAAAAGGGTTAAACTTTTCAGAATACGTCCCAGAAATCTAATAGCTACACAAAAGATTGGCACCTACACCCATATGACAATCAACAACATACTCTAATCTCCAAACAAGCATCTGTTACCACCAAGAACTTCAGTTCAGGGCTTGTCTGAACTGATAAAGAGCTCTGCATCCAACCCATGCTAATTTCTCCACTGTTTGTATGCTCTCAGGACCAAGCAAAACTCAGCAAAACCTATACTGAAATTCTGCATGGAAAGAAAGTGTGCTAAAGGCAACCTGTGCAGTTCCATCACAGGGCACAGGGCTTCCTGAAGCAATCATCTCTCAATTCTTTCTTCCCTGTCATCACAGATGTGGTGATAATATTACCTTGGCCTTCTCAACATATTAGAAATTTCCAAAACAGTTGGAATTTAGGGGCAAAGCACAGATTTGCAATTTGGTCATTCAGTCGGGCTCCCATACACAGCACTCTGTTAAGTAGAACAGTACTGGTGATCAAACACACAACACAGAGTAGGTGGTGTCACAAAGTGCTGCTTGCAGGACTGGTGTTCCCTCTACTCATGCTCAGATTTAAGTGGAAAACTTGTGATTTTCCAACCTCACACAGGAAGTCCAGGTTGAGAACAGACACAAAACAGCTATCAGATACAAAACAGCTATCAGATGGGAGTGAAGGCACATAGAGCAAGTTCAAAACCTCCTCTGAAAGCAAAAAGCAGCTCTGTCCCACAAGACTTCTGAGCATCAGAAGGGATCAAACACCCAAAGCACTGCATTTGAACACGCTTCAGAGATGGAGAAATCAGAGGCCAGAAGATAAAGGCTGACAGAAGAGCTATAGTCAAAATGTTCTCCCACTCTGAGGAACAGAACATTACTGCTGTCTGATACTTTGAAACTGGCGAGACCAGGAGAAATGGGATCTTTCATCCACTGCCTCTCTGCCAGTGATTAATGCTTCATTACAGTCTCAGAAGGCTGCAATACATCCGAACCTGAACCCAGGAGACAAACTAGTTGAAAATCAAAAAGGGAAAAGGGAATTGTCTCTCAGTTGAGGTCTGAGGGTGATCACAGATCTATTTTACAAAGAGCTGAAGCACATTTTCCACCCCCATGGCAGATCTGACAGATGGAAAACATTCTTCATCTGTGTTAGTGAAAAGCCTGGCAGCTTGGTCCTCCACTTTCACCAGGAGTCCAGGCAAAGATACCAGGTTTTCAGTGAAAAAATAAAAGAAAGATTTCTCACAGGTTTTGTTCCACTGCCTCTGCATTAAGGACCAGTACCTAGCAAAATGTGGTTTTGCCAAAGCGTTCCAGTTAATGTTAGACTTGCCCACACCAAAAAGCTTTGGGATCCCTCCATCAGAAAGCAGACAACCAGAGATTTCAACAGATGGAAGCCCTCCTGTTGTCCCAATCAAAACAAGCATGGCCAGATCACAACACATCCAGATGTCAGGGTGAGCTGCACGAAGAAGCCACAGGAATTAAGGGGCTCAGCACTTGGCAGGTCTGGGGCACTGCGATTATCTGAGATCTCTTACAGAACATGCTGCAAAGCTGCTGCCAGTAGCAAGTACTGCATGAAAAGGGAGTGCTCTGTTAACATCTTGGTATGGATTCTGGATGGTTGGTTGGTTGGTTGGTTTTGTTTTGGCAAGTTACCCCAGCTGTCCCTATGCCTTGAGATGAAGTAGTATTCAAGACCCCAGATGAGATTTCTCCATATTTACAGAGAGGGTGGTTAAGCACTGGAATAGGCTCCCCAGGGAGGTGGTTGAGTCACGATCCCTGAATGTGTTTAAAAACCGTTTGGATGCGGTGCTCAGGGACATGATTTAGTGGAGGGTTGATAGAGTTAGGCCAGTATGGTTAGGTTGTGGTTGGACTTAATGATCTTTAAGGTCTTTTCCAATGATTTCTATGATTTTCTATGATTTCTATGCCTTGTCTAACTGAAATGCCTCACTCAGCCCTGTCCCCCAGCAGTTACCTGTAGCAGCTCCTTTGCAGAACCTCTCTTTTCCACATCCATTTCAAGACAACGGTTTAGGAAGTCTCTGAATATGGGTGAAAGCTTTTCTGGATTCTGCAGTTCTGGAGTCCCATTGGTAGCAATGAGATACAAGGCCTAAAGCAAAACAAGCACCAAAGAAACAGGAGGTTATGAAGGTCAGGTTCCATCTCCGGATTACACAGACATCCACTTTTCCCCTCCCACCCACCAGCTCAATGGGAAAAATAAAACAACAACAAGCCTTATCAGGGTGACTAATAAATGATTAAGTTTCAGCAAACAGAATAGCTGCTGGCTCTATTTTCATGTGGATGGGATCCAATCCTTTATTGTTTTACCCTCATAATCTGGGTTTGAATCCTGCTTCCCTCTCGAGGGATTAGAAGGACAAAAACAACATTCCAGACTGTGTTTATATAGGGAAGCTAACTGGCACAGCTCTACCAGTGCTAGACTCCTGCAATAGCTATATCCTCATGGGAAGGTACTCCTGCATAAATAGATTTTGTTCTGCTGGTACTTTGCCTGAGTATGTAAGGCCTATAAAGTCAGTACTGTGAAGATGGACTTGACGCTTTATAAATGATGTTCAGCAGATCCTCGAGCAGCATTTGACAGGCTAAAGAAACAAGTAGCTGTGCTACTGCTTGGGAATAAGTGTGCGTGTAAATCCTCTGAGAACCAAGGAACTCAACATGCCAAATTCATGCCAGAAACTTCCTGGGTGGATTTTAAAAGGAAATGCCTATGTATATACCCAAAATCATTTCCAGTGCAAGAGATGGAAACATCAGTTAAGCACAACTGCTCTAGAGCTTTGCATTCTCTTCAGCTTAAGGAGGAAAAAAACCCCAAACAAACATCAACCTGGCTTACACACAGAACAGCTACATTACTACAAACTGACAGGATTTCCTTTTTCATTAAAGAATGAGAAAGACACCAGGGAAGTTAAAGCCTGTCTAAAGACTTACTAAGGTTGGAGTTTTATTTGGAGCATGCAAAGTGGAACAATTCGCCAGAAGAAAAGAACCCTGTTTATTGATATGTATCCTTCAGTGCAAGGAGGGCTTTCTTCCTCACTCACAGGGCACAAGGATTCAAGAAGCCAGGTACACTGGTGCCAGACAGTGCTCCTTCTGTCCCATCAGCCTCTTGAAAAAGCAGGGAATTATGAGTTTCTTTGGTTAACTGAGGCTCCATCAGAAGGACTGCAAGACGAGCCTGTGCTTCTACCATCCAGAATCAACTATGGCTTTTAACTCAAATGATCACAATCTCCTCGTTACAATGTCCAAGGAAATATGCAGCTGAATGTGATGAAACCACACTGCAGGCTCTTTTAGAGCCTGAGTTAGCCAGAATGCTCAGAGCAAAAACAGAGGATGAAAAGATATCTGCTTACTCTCAGGGGATTCTCGTTGAGGTAGGGGGGTTCTCCTTCAATCATCTCGATGGCCATTATCCCCAGTGACCAGATGTCCACTTTGGACCCGTATGCCTTCCGTGTCACCACTTCAGGTGCCATCCAGTATGGGGTCCCCACCATGGTGCTGCGTTTGCTCTGCTCAGGAGTGATCTGGGCACAGAAGCCAAAGTCAGCTGGGAAGTGAAGACAGAGAGAAAAGCCAGAAATCAGCCAGGTTTCTCCAAAAACAACATGTACTGATTCCAGCAGTACAAGCTGGTCTGTTGCATTGCATTGCTTGTTACACTGCTTAGCAGCTCTAAAGGAAGGGTGGTTTTGTGGCTAATATGGTGTTCAGGGGTTCGTTTCTAAATGTGACTCACTGAGGCCACGAGGATCACAGAGCTGCTGCCTTGTCTACATGAAGGCTGGTGATCAGCAAACAGCCGTATATGGATGTTGTGAAACTTGACTGTGCAGCATTTTGCAGTTGTAAAACACCATCTATGTTTTCAAGATCACTCCTGGGTATGTGAAAACATAAATCAATGCCCAGCCTGATCTTGATACACCCCTCCACACACACACTGCATTATCTGGTCTGATTTTCATTCCTGGAGATATTTCTTCCCTGGAAGACACATCATTCCTCAAACAAGATTTGCTTTACAGGGTAAATACTATTCTCAGAATAAGCTTAAAGTACCAAAATGTATACTTAACATTTTTCTTGGAGTAGGCAGAAAGATGGGAGCCTGCACATGAAAATTACTTGGTCCAATGTCTTATTTGCTGTTGTCTTATCTAAAGAAAACCAGTTCTGTTCTTGTGTGACCAGCAGAATTAACACAGCAAGATGCAATGCTCATGCTGATCTCCTGTGTCACCAAGAGTTCAATTTTACGCAGAACCATGAAAATTAAACTAATCCCCAACTGAGTTTTTATCCAGGGTAACAACCAGGATAGGTACATATGATTCATAAACAGAGCAAACTGCTAACAGAGCCAATATGAAGCCCAGGTCCAGAAGGTTACTGCATCATATCCACAGGGGCTTTCCTAACTGCAGCCAAGTACCTGCATACTGTGCTCAAATATACTATTCCATAAGAACAGAGCACTTTGGCCCTGATAAGCTGTTCATTGCTGACACTCCAGAGATCTGACTGTACCAAAGTGTAACTTTAGTCTAAAAGGAAATTACGTACCAAAAAAAAAAAAAAAGGAAAAAAAAGCAAACAACAACACCATCTTACTCAGCATATCTGCACTGTGTGAATTTTGAGTCATATCTGCTGTCACTGCTGACAAAAATAGATTTATTTATGCCTGTTGGGTGCTAGCCAACAGAACTGGGAAGGAGAGGGAGGGAGCGGGATTTTGTGAGAGCCATAGGTGGAAAGCAATCATTCACTGGTCCCCAAACTTGTCTCTGCGTGGGCAATCGCAAGCACAGCCGCCACCTTAGCACCAGAGGGGCAGAACAGTCTCAAGGTCTTCATTATCAGTGATAACACAAGGAGGAAACAACACTAAGAACTCAGTTTGGGCTGGGTTTGTAAGATTAAATGCTATCTCGTTGCACAGCTTTCAGTTATCCATTCACTCGCTTCCATCTCCCAAGTACCCACAAGTATTTTCCAGTCTGAAGAGATCACACACAAATAAAGGCTTGTGATCCTACATCTTTAAACTCAGCTTTACAGACTGGGGTAGCACTAAAATATTGTCATTTCAGGCGACAAAAGGAGATGGTCCAAAGCTAAGAGATTCAGGTATTTTCATATTAGGAAAATCCTTCTCTCGAAGAATTGGTAACACACCGGCACAGGTTGACCAGGGAGGTGGTGGAGTTTCTGTCCCTGGAGGTGCTCAAGAATCACAGAATGGCCAGAGTTGGAAGGGACCTCATGGATCATGAATCTCCAACCCCCTGCCACATGCAGGAAGGAGATGAGATGGCTCTGAGGGATACAGTTAGCGGGCATGGTGGGGACGGGTTGACAGTGGAACTTGATGATCCTAGAGCTCTTTTCCAACCCTAACGATTCTATGATTCTAATTCCAAACCTCACTGCATGTCTGGTATCAGTTCAAAAGGACTTACACTTGCCAATCTCCATTAAAACAGATGCCACAAAAATAAGTACAGCAGCATTTCTATAGACTCTTCATCACTGCAGCATCAAGTAACTCAAAAACCCCTCTTCCCACTAGGCCTATCCTGTAGCATGTAAGAAGCCTGGGCTGACAACTAAAGCCACAACCAGCACTGTTCCCCACATACTTAATTTAACAGAGCCATCCATTCCCAGTAGGATGTTGTCACTCTTTATGTCTCTGTGAATAACTTGGTTTGAGTGGAGGAATTCCAAAGCCTGAAGACACTGAAAAAGATAATTAAAAAAAATCACATAAATAAAAACAGAGGTATTCTTTCTGAGTATGAAATGATTCATCAGCTACAGTTAGCCAGCTGATGGACACTAACATCACGCATTTTGAGTAGCACGGGCTTAGCTTCTTAAAGAGCCTTTCCCATATCCAGTATGCGTGGGGCTACAAAGAGACATCCCTACTGGGACCAGCAGGTGGACAGGGTAGTTGCAAAGAGGATAAATGTAACCATGGGAATTCCAATCCCATTTTGCACCACGATCCTCACTTGAGGGTGAAACCTAACAGGAGTATGCTGCAAACCCCTAAGTAAAATCCACCCTCTGCAAAATTACTGTTGCATTAGAGAAGCTGCAGGTGGCTGTGCTGCAGAGCCAGTGACACACCACACAAAGCCCATGTCCCCCACCCCTCACAGCTCACTCAGTGTGAGCACAGCTTTACCTCTCGGCACACAGCTGCAATCTGTCCTTCGTCCATGCAGGTCTCTGTAACAACATCTGTTAGGGAGCCTCCTGCCAAGTACTCCATGACTACCCAGAGCTCTTCTCCTACAAGGTAACTGAAATGCCAAAGAAACAGCTTTTAGAAGAAGCTGATCTATGAGCATCCCACCATTTCCCTAGTCAGAATGCACTGGGTTTTTAAACTATCATAGAAGTATAGAGAAACCATCTACTTTGCTCAGGCACGGAGGCAATCCTGGATGACACAATGGTTGGTTACCCACAAACAACAGAGGAAGAACACAGTATTTTTAAGTATCATGTTTACGAAAAAAATAAAATAAAATCAATCTTTTTTATGGCACCATTCAGTCTGGCATTCTCACAGAATCACAGAAGTGCTTCCTGGTGTTTAGATTTTGTCTAAAACATTCAGAACTGTTGCCCAGTGAGCTGGTGGATATCTTGGCCCTGGAGACATTCAAAATAAGGCTGGATGGGTCTCTGAGCACCTGACAGAGATGTAGGTGTCCCTGCTCATTGCAGGGGAGTTGGACCTTTATAGGTTCCTTTCAACTCCAATGATTCTATGAGGGCTACTGAGTACATCCTTCTGGATGAAACAGCATTTCTACAGAATAAAAGAATAAAACTGGGAAAGCCTGGGAGGGCAGCTCTTGCCCCGAAAGGCCTGCAGGAAGATGGAGAGGAGAAAGCTGAGATGAGGGTGAATATTCTCAGCCTTTGTGTTATTATTCTCTTCTGAGAGCGTGTATGTTGACATCTAGAAGCTGACGACCTGGGATGAGGGCACCAGCATTAACTCACGTTAAAAAAAATAACAGTAATCACCAACCACTTCTGCCTTTTGGGGCCCATCTGGAAAAACATCAACACAGCTTTTCATAACGTACACGTAGGTATGACACATTCATGAAGGAAGGAATCATTAGTTTGGAAACTATAAAACCCACTTTCAAGACTATCTGACCATTTTTGACTGGAGCAGACAGTTGAGTCAAAGAGAGAAGGAAGGCAAAGATTCAAATTAAAAGCTTCTCTGCTGGCACTAGAATTCATCAACAAGCTGTTTGCTTTGCTCAGAAACACTGATCCTGCTAAAAAGTGAACAGTGAATCTGCTAGAAGCCAAAGGCAAAAGCAGGACATGATCCAGAGAACAGCGAAGGAGAAAAAGGTTATAAAGTCTGACTTGGCACAGAAAGTTGACAGAGATGAGCCAGACATCACAGGAGTGAGCAAGAAGTTCACTGTGGCCCCAAAAGAACATACTGCCAGCACCTGAGCTGATGAAAAAAACTCCTAAAAATAAAAAACTGCAATCTAAGCTGTACCTGGATGCTAGAAATATTACAGCTACGGAGAGCTTCTAGTATTAGAGACAAAGATGTGATCTAAGTTTGGTGATGCTGTAGATTGCAGTGAGGCAAAGCCTAAAGCTTCTTTCAGTATCCAGAGCCCAAGGACACAGAGCAAAGCTCACAGAGCAGACAGGTCTCCAGCCCCACTCCCGAAGTGCTGACACTGGCAGCTTGTTCCTGGCAGCACAGAGCCCAACAAAGGCAGAATCACCTGCACAGCAGTCTGTTGGCGTGACAGAGGAGCAGAACTGCTTTCAGCAGCATTTCTGTAGGTCAGCAACCTCTTCATGGGCTCTAAAAGCCACTCCATCCAGATCTCTCCTTCCTGTTCCCTTTGCTGTTGTTGATTCTTCTTCACCTCCTGCCAATCTAGAGACTCTCCAAATTTTATCAGCACCCTCACCACAAATCAGCGGCTGCCTGGAAAACCAACATTCCCCTTCTGTGCCACTACACAGAGCATTTGGAGCATGCTCTTAGACATGAGAAGCCCAAATCTACTTGGCTATAGGGATGGGCAGAGCAGGATCCACTGTTCCTTTGTAACCCTCTCAGGTTGCACAAGCTGGGAGCAAGCTGGTTCCTCTTCACAGCCAAAAGGGATGGAGCAAGCCAAGGAGCCCACTGCAAACCAAAGCTGTGCCACAAGCAGCACGTGCCAAGATCCAGGCACCTCAATAATTGATAGCTCTGACACAACGTGCAGGGAGGTAAAATTAACAGTGGATCCTTGCCAGCTGACACTGAGCAGGCGTAATTTCAGAAGGCAACATGGTGTCATCTCAGGGCTCTTTTCACTCTCTCACCACAGCAGAGGCACTTTAGTCCCTGAGTTGCCTCCTGCAGACGTGCCTCAAAACGGCTCTATCAGATGTTCCTGAAAAAAGCCAGAAATCATAGAATCATGGAATACCTTAAGATGGAAGGGACCCATAAGGATCACTTAGACCAACTCTTGGCTCCACGCAGGACCACCCACAAATCAGACCATATGTCTAAGAGCATTCTCCAAATGCTTCCTGAACTCCAGCAGCTTGGGGCCATGCCCACCGCCCTCTGGTGAAGGACCTTTTCCTGATATTCAGCCTGAACCTCCTGTGTCACAGTTTCATGCTGTTCCCTTGGGTTCAAGGGGAGCCAGGACAGCTATGTACTGCTCTCCATGTGACTGACATCAAAAGTATTGCAGTGCCACACACCATCACCTGCAGTCGCTCTCCAAAAGAAGGCTGGCAGCAAAAGCAGGGTGATGAGTCTTGGAGGAAGGATGCAGCCTACAGTTTTCTCTTCACCTCACTTACTAACTTCAATTTCAGCTGAAGGCTGCATCCTGAAAGGAGGCTGTAGCGAGGTGGGGGCCAGCCTCTTCTCACAGGTAACAGTGATAGGATGAGTGGTAATGGCCTTAAGTTTGGGAGGTTCAAGTTATATATAAGGAAAAAATTCTTGTCAGAAAGAGCGATAATGCATTGGCACAGGCTGCCCAGAGAGTTGGTGGAGTCCCTGTGTCTGGAGGCGTTTAAGAACCGTGGAGATGTGGCACTGAAGGTCAGTGGGCATGGTGGGAATGGGCTGGTGGTTGGACTGGATGATCTTAGAGGTCTTTTCCAACCTTAATGACTATGATTCTATACTGGTAAGGGCAGGAGCTGAGGCAGAGATCAGAGAGATGGTTTATTCCAATGAGCACCTTGATGAGCTCCCATTAGGTACTGAGAAGGGGAGACACTGTCAGGAACAGAGCCTCAAAAAAGAAACCAGGTCCCACATCAGCAATGCATCCTTCCTCATATGTTCCTTCTGGGACAGCAGTAGGCAGAAGCCAGCAAGCTTCATCACTCAGGAACAAACAGGCACACGAGGCCAGGCAGGAGAGGATGCAGCTCCCCGGCAGCAGGAAGCTGCAGTTGCAAAGCTGAAGTGGCACAATAGGCACAAGAGCTCCCATATGCACCCTCATCACTGTTCTCTCCCTCTGCAAAAGATTACTGAGAGAAAGCTGAGGGCAAAAGCAGCAGATCTTGCTGGAAGTTTAAACAAGACAGCAGGACATGCAGCCACCCTGCAGCTAGGATGTACTGCCTAGGCACAGCATGTGCAGGGACACTGTGATGCACTCTCTAGTGAGAATATGCATCTCAAACAGTTTTCCCAAAACAAAGCCTCTAATGAGCCTGGAGAAATACATACTTCCAGCCTGCATGCAGTACTTAAAGGTTCTTTTCTACAGTTCTCATTTTGCACAGGCAATATCCTTCTGCTCTTTCTAGGAGAGGGCATCTGTCCTTTCAACAACACAGCTCTTCACAGTTATGCACATAATGTGGGACACAGCACCACCTAAATTGAGCATCACACTAGATGTTGATATTGCAGCATGAGAACTATTCTTTCTTATTTTTGCTAAGACATCACAATAAGCCAACTAAGAAAACAGCCAGTAGGCTTTTGATGCACATGCAGAGCAATACATGTCCAAATATTCTCTCTCAGATTTCCAAAAGTGATTTTAGGTCATGTCCCTCCATTCTATCTTCAGAAGATGAACTGCCATTATTCAAGTCTGAAGCTTGCTTATCTGAACTTTCTGCTTTCCCTACAATAAGCCAAACCTGTAGTTAACCAAGACTGCTTGTTTCTGAAGAGTGCAGCAATCTGGAAATCCTGCTGCAGCCCCAATGGAAAAAGCTGTAACGTAAGATGAATGATTCAAGCTTGACACAATGCATCAGTGTTAAACTGATGCTGAATTCAATTCACTGTGCAACACTTTCGCTCTGTTCAGCTTTCAACACATCCTAGATTTCAATGCTGGCAGCTCGTGACTGTTTCCTGGAATTCAACCAGGGAGAGATGCAAGCATTTCTTGTGCTTTCTTTCAAAGGCAGCTCCCTACCCCTAAAGCTACCCAGTTGCTCCTTTTGAAGCAGCCAACCTCCAAAATGTTGATGATTGCAGCACTGCTACTACCACCCTTATGTACAATATTGATACCCCGTGGGGAAGAACCCACAGCCGCATTTGTGTGTGGACTTGGTATTTTATTGCCTTGAGCTACATAGTGAACAGAGTTTTCATGGCTACATGCATTTATGTTAGAAACAGCTTACACAGGGCAGCAGTCACAGCACTGATTAGTTCTGCTCTGTTTCTGTCCTAATCCGAGGAACAAGTGCAAGCAGGTCCCTACATATGTAAGCAATTATGTGCAGCTCCTGAAGTAAGAAGAAGCAGGGATTCAAAAAGATGTTCCACATGAATGCAAGGCTGAGCAGCAGTAACACAGAGTGTGTACAAGTCCACAGAATTCAGCTGCAAGGAAGGAGTAAGCTTGTTCCTTACACCTTGCAAAGGATTTTTATACACTGTGCCTGCTCTTCTTCTCTCCCTTATCCACATCCACAAGAAAGCCGTTTTGCTTAGTTCTGTTACATGGTGTTTACCCTCATCACTACCTAGAAAACCTCAGTGGACAGCAACAGGGACAGGATTACCACCCATGCCTGGAAGGAGTTATGCCAGCAGAACGTTTGTCTTGCTCAGAAATGAGGAAAGAGAGGAAAGCAAATATAAATAACACAGTTCAATCTATTTTCACTTCTCCTCTAGGTGCAGGGAGGAAATGGCTCACTGTGTTAAATTTGGCAGAGCACGTTGAAAAATGGAGTCCTGACAGCATGCTGCTAATGCCAGTATCTCTAAGAAGCCTGGATTCTCCATTAGCACCAATTCTTGTTTCTCCTAGGATTGGGACAGAGATCACTACATCACCCACACCCCAGCCTTACCAGATGCAAGACTGTCCTTTATCTGCATTAAGCTGAGACAGGATCACTTAAGACAGTGACAAGGAAGCGTTTTCCAGAGCTCTTTCATGAACTCTTTGAACTGTGACATACCTGTCCAAGTAGTTGACAATGTTGGGGTTTTTGTTTTCCCTCATTACGAGGATTTCATTGATAATCAATTCCTTTTTGGGCTGCTGCTGCAAATTCATCTGCTTGATTGCAACCTACAGGGAAGAAAAAGCAAGATAGAGAGCATTATTACAAGATTTCCCAAGAGTTCTGCCAGTAGTGTTGATTGGTTTAGTCTTACATTCACATGAAGGGGGAAGCCATTTATTCATCACGAGTTACTCAGTCATTCAGCAACTCCGAGCTCCTGCAGCCAGTTCACTTCTATTCTTGCTGGGCATATAATGTCAAAAAAGAGCAAGGGAATTTACTGCTTTCATACTAGACTTTTACATCACTGTTGGACAGCCATCTCTAGCTGTAGTTTCTTAGCAAGACAGCAGAGAGACCCTTACTCTAGTTTGGACTGATAATTCAAAGACTTTCTGTTTTGAATCAGATGTCTTTGGAAGTTCTGTTTTAGTTGTTGTGTTTGTAGTTTTGTTTGTTTTTTTTTCCATTCCTATGCTTCTATAAATCTACAGCAGATTGGGAATGCAGGGAGGAGGTAAATAGCATGGGCTAAATCACTTTCAAGAGATAATTCTCTTATTTGTTACGGCAAGACCTAAGGGAGAAGAATCACTAATAGTTAGATTAAAGGTTGAACAGATGGGAATTTGATTCAGCTTTATCCCCAGTTATAACAAAGAGAAATATGAGCAGGTTCATTAGCTGTGGTCTTTTTGCTTGGTAGCTGTCTACCTGTTTCATTATACCTGCTCCACATGCTCATGTGCAGAAAGCAGTTGGCTACAACATGCTTTGAATTCCTACATTCAATTCCTACATTCATCATATCCCACAACCAGTATTTCCACAAGAACACCTGGCCTTCAAAGAAAAGCCTTCCAACCACAGAAAACCTTGAGTCCAGTAAGTCTGCCCAGCACAGCAGGAGGCAGAAACACTTTGATAGGCATTGCAGCCCAATTGTATTTGGTCCAACACTTAGGCAAAGGGAGTGATATGTAATTACACCTTTACAAAACTGCTGATTAAAGAAAGCACTATAGGCTAATGGAGAGGAGCCAGTAATTAGAGCTCACAAAAGCAAGGATTAGAAGCAACAAGCCAATATAGATAGCTACAATTAGCATTTTGATAGTATAGCAGGAGATTCTACCGAAAAATGCCAACACACAAGAAGGCAAGAACAGAGAGACATCATACTTCTTTTCCACAGTATTCATAAGGCTGCCAGACAGCATTTAAGAAACAAAGACCCTGTGCTGCTCTTTGCACAAGGAGAAGAGAATGAAAGATGAAGCAGAGAAGGAAGCATTTGCTGCAGATAAAGAAATTCCACAGCAATACTGAGGAAGCCTCTGCATGTCCACGCTCCTGTTCAGAGGCAGACCCAAGGGCATGCTTGCATGTAGGGGTGTTTTCCTTATCTATGTATTAGGGTACAAAGTAAATAGCTGTAGTTATATTAAATAGGCGTAATCAGTGGCAATCATGAATATTCTTAATCCTGGCAGCTGCCCAAGGCTCTTGTACATTGCACAATAAAGAAATTTCTAACACGTGCTGCCTTTCACTGAGTCCCTGAGCTCTCAGCGTTGGTACCAGCAGTGCTTCACAGAAAGGAACAGGTTAACAGCATGTCAGAACTACAGTGATCCCAAATGCAATTTTAAAAATCCAGGGACCAATCAAGTTAGTACGAAGGGAATGATTTAAAAGTCTGTTGTACTGCAAGAGATCAAATATTCACACGGGAATCACTGAAGGGATCCAGAAGGAAAACAGAAAACCACCGAAGGATTTCCTCCTTCTACAAAACTTCCCATTGCTTCAAAATAAATGCAAAACCCCTTCCTCAGAGGCAGCAATTAAACTCTGTTATTTCTTCAGGCATTGGAGAAGAGGAGTTATGAAATTCACTGGTGGATAACCCTGACATTGTACAAATGCAAAGTAGACACACAGTGCTGCAGACTTCCATAAAGATATCTGGAATAATGCATACACTTCCCTCTTTAACAGTCCTCCATCTAGCAATAATCATTTCCACAGGTGCTGCATATCCATCACTGCTAGTTTATTATGCATGCATGCAATGTGCACAGCACTTTTCAATATTCGGGGAAGAAAATAAAAAGACACTCCTTGTCTCTCAAGCCAAGGGCAAAAAGCAGGTGGGCAAAGGTTGGGAATTAATTGTTTCTATGCAAGTCAACTGGTGTAAGTGTACAAAGCAAAGGAAAAGAAGATGTAAAAGAATTTGCATGGGGGGAGGAAGACCCCTTAGCAGGGACCTTTCTGATAAGACAAGGGGAAATGATTTCAAACTAAACCAGAGGAGATTTCAATGGGATATAAAAAAAAAAAAAAAGTGTTTTTATGATAAGGGTGGTGAGGCACTGGCACAGGCTGCTCAGAGAGATGGTGGTTCCCCATCTCTGGGGACACCCAAGGTGAGGCTGGATGGGCTCTGAGCACTTGATGGAGCTGTGGTTGTCCCTGTTCACTGCAGTGGAGTTGGACCAGATGGCCTTTAAAAGTCCCTTCCTGTACACATGATTCTATAACTATGAAATATCAGGGATGAAGAGAGAAACTTCTGCTAAGGAGCTACCCAGTCTCCACATTTGCTTCCAGCCTTTGTAGCCACAAACAGGTTTTATTTTTTACAAATACAAAGCGATTCAGGAATTAAAACCTGGGAAATCATTTTTGCAATTTACTGCTCAGACCACTTGACCATGCCTCATTAGTAAGGAAAGAAATGCCTCATTAAAAACAAAATGTCATGAACCTGTGGAAGAATGTCTTTATTTTATAGCATCAACTGTAACTTTCTGTGGATGTTGAATTGTGTCCTGAAGTGGTATTCTGGCAGCACTTACCTCCTGTCCTGTAGCTACATCCATTGCTGTGTAAACTGTACCTGAGGCTCTAAAGAAAAGGGAGAACAATAATAATGAGAGGGAAGAATAATAATAGTAAGAAGCTTATTATTGTCTCTTAGCAAGACAGAATTTAATATACTCCTCCTCTTCCTCCCATTTTTCATCATATCAATAATTCCAGTGGTAAATGTAATCTGAAATACTTCTTAGCCAACATCACTACTGGAGAAGTTCCAGCGGGGAACAAAGCTCCTGGTATGGAAGAGTCTGGCCATCCAAATCTTTGCTGCTAAACCAGCAATGCAGCACAGCTTGTAGGACCATGATCTAAACTGGCATGACTGCAGTGCCCTGGCTTGCAGACTGTGCTGTAATCACGTTGGGCAGACAGGATGAGATAAAGTAAACAAATGTGGCATTTGTAGTGAGAGGAATGGGAGTCTGGGCCTCAGCACAGTCTTTCCATGATGTACCTCATTGTGGCCTCTCCCCAAACCTCTTCTTTCCCCTACTCTGCTAAGAGTAGCACAACACCAGCATCGAGGAGAGTTAACTCAGAAAGCAAATCTGTGCTTTCAGCCTTGCATGCTGAAAATAAGCAGCTCCATCCCTGCCTACAGCTATATTTAGCAACCTGATCATCTAATGCCATGTTTTCTTCTATTAAAACACAATTGCGCAAAAGAACCCAGTCACTGTGACTCAAAACTTTGATAGGAAGGGGAAGAGAGCTTTGGGGAAGGAATAAAAAGAAAAATGTAATCACCAGCTTTTTCAGCAGACTAACTTAGCCTGGATTCAGCACTTCTTTCTTAACATAAGGAAAGGTATGGGAGAGAAGTGAAGCATATACCAACCCTTGTCCAATCTTCTCAAAACGCGTGTACTTCTTTTTTGGATCACCCACACTCACAATGCTTCCTGCAAAAGAAATTTAAAAAAAATAATAATTTTAGAAGTACTTTCCCATACAACTACACCATGACAACTTCCGTCAGAACAAACATATTTACCACTCTTCCATACCAGCAATAACATAGCCATTATTGATCTAACTAATAGATTGCAAGACATGGGGAGGAAGCTAGAGAGACCCTCAGAATTGCCCTGGGTATTGCTCAGCTCCTCTACTAGGAGCCCAGCAGCAAGAGGAAGGGCAGGAGGTTTTTAGCAGCAGTTGCCATGCAACTGCAGCCATGCTTTCCTGGGTTTGGAGAGCACCCTGAGGCAATCTCAGCTCATTTTCCCTAATGTGGCTGCTCAGCTGAAAGAAAGTCTATTATTGCATCCCTTGGAGGATAAAGCTTTTGGCTTAGTGTTCTGCAAGGTGGTGAGGGGCTGCTCAGGTTCAAGGTAGCCATGAGGAACACAACCTCAAGCTTTCTGTAGCGGAGGGAGCTTGCAGAATAAGGGCACAGAGGAACCAAGGCCAAGGATTAAGCTAGAAGAAGCTGCCAAAAGCAGCATCACTGGAACCTTAAGTTCCCTGAAGACACTGATATTCATCATGTCCTCGAAGTTGGAAGGGAATCATATCCTTCAGGGCTGAGGACATCCAGGCCAACAATTCCTAGAGCTCAGCTGGGTACAAGTCTCCCTACAACATCACCAGGGTTGACTAGATCATCTTGGTGGTCTTTTCCAACATTTTTTGATGAAAACATAATTTGATGATTCTAATAGGATCAAGGGATGCAGAGCTGCCTCTGCATTGTTTGCAAGTTGCTCAAGCAGCCAACATACGGTGCTGCCTTTGCAGAGGCCTAGGGCTGAGCCTAAGCAGATGCATATTGGCAAGGAAACCACTCATGGTCATCATGCCAAGAAATCCAGTAGCGAGCAGAGTAAGAGCAGGCTATTTTCAGACACCAATGGCCAGCAGCCAAATCCACAGGGTTTAGGGCAGGCAGAAGTAAAAGAGGGGAATACAGCTTCATGCCTGGGGAGAAGGGTGGGAAGAGAAATCAGACTGTGTACACCTTACTGCACAATTACTGAAGCACTGCTGTCTGCCCTGAGGACAAACATTTCTGGACAAATGTTCATAAACTTTCCCTTAAAGCCTAACACAGGATGCAAGTTCAGACTGCGAGAGGCAAATGTTTGCCCAAGGCAGTCACAGGACAGAGCTGCAGGGCAGTGACAAGAGGCAGCCGTCAGTCTTGCCCTGATTAACCCTCTCATTCTGTAAAAGGGGGTAATGTCTCCTACCTCCCCAGAAGCCAGGTGAGGATTCATTAATGTCTGCACTAATGCTGCACTAATGCTGCACTAACGCTAAGAGGTGGGGATTTACAGAAGCGAACATACTTGCATTAGAATAGCACTTTTTTCCAGACCCTGCCTGCCCAACCTGGTCACAGAATGGCTTAAATCCTTAATGATACAAAGGTCCTGCTAATGCAGCAAGTGAAGTTTTGAAACCTGTCTTGAAAGGGCAAGTTTTCAAATAGCAAACACTTCCATCTTACATGCCATCAATGCAATTTAGGCTTAATTTCAGAGGAATGAGGTACCGAACTGACACTGTTGAAGTTGTGCCCTCAGATTAAGTTTCTCTTGATTCAGGTGTTAGGCTAAGCTTCATCAAACAGGGGGAAAAACTCTCAGCAGAGGTGTCTAGCCTGACTGTAGGGGTGCTAACACAATTTACACCATCTGACATGCAAGTCACATATGTAATTAACACAGCATTAGTAGTTCAAAGAATTAGAAATGCTCCACCCTAATAAAAGCTGGCCCAGGCTGAGGACAGCAGTCAATTGCACAGAACAGCTGTTTCAGCTGTCAAATGCTGCCACAGCACATCCCAGTAGTGCCAAGCAGTAGAAGAGCACTTTAAATAACACCCATAAAGTGAAGGAAAGGACTGCTAAATAAACCAGGACACAACAGAAGGACAACACCCACAAATCTGGGTTATTTACTGGGTATACACCCAGTGTCAGGACACTTAAAAATGAGCAAGACATTTAATGTCATGATATCAGGGGAGGTAAACTTGGGTTTGAATGAATTTTCTCTGTCTTTTAGTCACAGCTGAAAGCTCTGCTCACCTTAGGTGCAACGTTTCAATATAATCATCCACACTCCAGAGCTGTGGAATATCAAGATGTGGAGCAGTCTCAGACTTTGTGGTTAAGTAGATGTTACATATTCAGGGCTCGTTCTGCAGAGTCTGAGGATCTGCAGCTCCCAGAGCCCTTCAGCTGGCATCACAGGTGCTCAGCTTACATCTACATTCTCCTTCTTCATCTGCCCCAATTTTGGCATGCAGTCACAAGGCAAAGTTTTCAGTAAGGGTTCTCAAAATAGCAGTGCCCAAACATCCCAGCTTTTAAGATATCAACACAAAAGAACACAGAATTCAATTTTTTTTTCCCCCAAGAAGACATACTTAATTTTTCCAAAATCTCCTCATCTGACATTTTTGGCTTTTTCTTTTGTTTCTCTGCATTCCTGATCAGCATGTCGGGTGTCACTGTGCTGTTTTCCGAGGGAGAAGAAATAGGAGAGGTGGCCACATCTCTGGTAGGAGGAGGAAGGGGGTCTATCACAGAGCGGGTGTATATCTAAATTTGAATGAATAAAAACAAAGCAGATGATGACTTAAACACCGTTCATCTTTTCAATATCTGAGCGTGACTGTGCTGAAGGAGGGACTGGTACTCACAGATTTGGTGTGTTCAGGTCGTGGAGCTATCACAGGGGGAGGAGCTGCATCATCTTCATCATCTTCGTCTTCAGACACCGAGGGCACTGCAGGGGTCTCAGACACAGCTTTCACATTCTGCATGTGGTCACACAAATAGCAAAAATAAAAACCTAATTGCTTGCTGTAAACGTGTAACAAACGTTTGATTAAGCTCCTAATAGAGAATGGCTTGAAGGAAACACAGAAATATTTTATTTTTTTGCCCAGAGAGGCTGTGGATGCCCCTGGAGGTGTTCAAAGCCAGGTTGGATGGAGCCCTGGGCGATCTGGTCTACTGCCACATCTGAAGGTTGGTGGCCCTGCCTGTGGCAGGGGAGTTGGAACTTGATCCTTGGGGTCGGTCCTTTCCAACCCAAGCCATTCTACAATTGAAGTTCACGGAGGCCTTTACCCTATAGGCACTCCAAAATAAACCTGGCAAGCCCCCTCAACCCACTGGCCCAGTTCTGCCCATGCTTCTGCTTCCATGCTACCATCAGTTCCCTAAGAGTAGTAGTGGAAAAAGACTTCTTGAAGCATTAAAATAAAGTTATCTATCACTGAAATAAGGGGGTAAAAAGATTTCACTGATCACATCTCACAATTCACTCATTCTACGTCTTTGGAGCAACCAGCACACTGACATATATTTGATAAAGTGCCCTTGACATAACACAAAAGCTTTGTCTATTAAAAACAACAAAAACTACCAAAATACTGTCAATTTCCTGAATCTCTCCAAAATTAGAGGTTACTCAGCATCTTACAGAAAACATTGGGCCGCCTCAATAGACCACCGAGCCTGGGGGTGTTCAAGGAAAGGCTGGATGTTGTATTGAGGGATGTGGTTTAGCGGGAGCTATTGGGAATTGGTGAACGGTTGGACTGGATGAGCTTTTAGGTCTTTTCCAACCTTGGTGATTCTATGATTCTATGACTGGTAACTACTGCTTTTTTCAGGATTTACTTTAAAATCCAATGCTCTCAGACATTCTAAGCTTCTGAGGACTGATGCACAATAAAGTGTAATGATGAAAAATGATGAAAAATGACCAAAAATGTTTTCCTTTTCTTTTAGTAGAGTCAAACAGCAACACGCTGCTCCCAGAAGGGAGCAGAACAAGCCAACTCCAGATAACATCATGGCTGTGAGAAAATTAGAGGTGAGAGAACTGTGTGCTCTTATGAATCACCCCAAACGTGAAGTTTTGTTTACCTCATAAATATACATACATAAATTTTACAGAGCATTGCAACTCTGTCTCCAAGCAAAGTGAAGAGGAGTGGTGCCGTCCTGGTAAGGACAGAGTAAAGGTCGAGCAGAGAGGAGGAGAACCTTTTATTTCCTTCTAGGCTGAGATTAGCTTGGTTAATCAACACTGCTTCAATCCAACCTCTCCAGCTAGTGATTAAACTTTGTTGGATCACAGATGTTTATAGAGACATATAAAACCTGAAAGCAAAGTGGTTACAGTTTTCTAGATTACTCCACCCAAAATAAACAGATGCAGGAATGGATCAGTTTATATGAAAACAGCACTGTTTCTACTCATTCATTCACTAGCTTCTATTATTTTCATAATAAAGGCCTCTTCTGTCTACTTGGCTTTACCACAGCTTTTTTTTTCTTCGTGTACAAACAACATGTCCTTTTAAGATAATTTGCCTGTTTTTATAAACATATTCATTATATAGAATCACAGAATCATGAAGGTTGGAAAAGACCACTAAGATCATTAAGCACAACCATCAACCCATCACCACCATGCCCACTATGCCCCCTAAGTGTCTTTAAAATGATTTTCAAACACTAAGCAAACTGAAAGCTACACAGATAAAACTATCCAATGCAAGTCTTTAAATGCCCCAACTCAAGAAATGGTGTGAAGACTTACCAGAGTATTTGATGAATTGTATTCCTCTGCCAACTTATCTGAAAGAAAAAGATACTGATGTAATTATAAATGAGTTGTAAACACAGCAGCACTAGAGAGAGGAGAAAGGGACAAACTCCTTTTGGAAGGGACAGGAAAAATGGCTCCTCTCTTTTTAGAGGCTTCCAGATACCTTCTGCACCCTACAGCAAGTCTGAAAAAGGCTGTCTCAAGTCTCATGACCACCCTACACCTCATTCATTATCCTAGGATCATGGCTTGCAGGCTTGCAGCACTTCTCAGAAGGATTAGCCCTGAAGCAGAATTAATGATTTCAAATCCAATAAAGCTTAAGAGAACAGGTAGCTGTATTTCAATGTCTATGCTTTTTTGTTTGTTTGTTTTTTGGTTTTTTTTGTCCTCCTGCAGGAATCTATAGGTTGGATCTTATTTAGGGTCCTTGCACCTGAATGCACTTTTGTGGAGGTACAGTGCAAAGGAACTCCCCAGACTGAGCTGATACTTGGATAAGGGAGCAAGGAGTACAAAATTCTACAGGCAAATGCAGAAACCTCAAATCCCTGTTGCAGGAAGGTGGAATTTCTCAGAGGAACACATGGGATCTGTATTGTTATTCACTCACATACACAAGGTGCTTGCAGTGGAGTTGAAAAATCATCTGATGCTAAATCACCAGCACAGGCACTACAGCTAGCCTGAGACCTGCAAGGCCCAGTTCACCAACGTCCCCTTTTACAACTATGCTGGGCATTAACAAAATTAACAGAACAAGATCCAGAGCAAGAAGGGTGCTCAAGCAAACATTGAAAAGACAGATCTCCTCATTGATTAAACAAAATAAAATCCCTATATCCAATGAATAACACAAAGCTGGACAGAGCAGCCCTATAAATACCTGTGAAACTCATGTACTTCTGACTGCTGGAGGTCTTCTTGGAGTTGTAAAATTCCAGTACATCCAGCACTGCCTGGGGGTTCTTCTTCTGCTCTAACTTGGTGATGTTGGAAGTCTGCAGTAAGCGTGCCCATTGCTCCGGCATGCCCTGTGGGGAGATGTACCACATTAGCCCACAGATGACCTAGTGTGCTTCTACACACACACAGTTCTGTCACACTGCTTCTGGGGTTACTCCATACTGAGAAGGAAACGAGGAGAAAAGAAGAAGGGGGGGGGTTGAAGCTAGATCTTCTCTGAAGTCCGTTCCAACCCGAGCCCATCTATCATCATATGACAGCCATTATCTGTGTCAGAAGTTAGAATCACAGCATGGTTGAGGTTGGAAGGCATTTCTGGTCCCACACATCTCCAGCAGGGACACCACCCAGAGCAGGATGTCCAGCACAACGTCCAAGTGGCTTTTGGAGATCTCCAAGGAGCAGCCCTCAGCCCTTCCCTGGTCCCTGTGCCAGTGCTCAATCATCACATTCCAGTATCCTATGCCATGTCTTTCTTACATGAACAGATCAATGCCCCTCAGTTCACAGGGATCTGTGTGAACCCCAGATCCTTTGAAAACCAAAACTCAAAAGACTGAAAGGATCAGACCCCATGTTAACCTAGCATACAGAGCTCATAATTTCATTACAAGGACACAATTTCAATCATAAAATAAACAGATTCAGAATACAATGTGGCTTGCAACTTTGAGCACCAGCAAGGACAACTGTGTGCAGACGAAGTGGCAAGTGGCTGGGGTACTTTACTGATAAAGTTGCCCTCCCTTTTAGAAGGAGTTGCTGGATGCCCTCAGAGGTAATGCCCCACTGGTACATCCAAGTTAACTTGAGCAAGTGTGGAAGCTGACATGAAAATACATCTGTACACACAATTCAGGCTAGGAGAACAAAGTGCCTTTAAAAGAAATAAGCACAGACAAAACCATCTTGCTTGTGAATAACTGCTGTTATTAAACCCTATCTCACAATCAAATTAAGAGGAACAACACGATGAAATACAACTCTGTCTCCCTACTCTTTTGCATGTCAATAAAAAAAAAATGCATAGAAGTATCTGCCATTTAGCCTTAGGACAGCATATGCACATTCTGGCACAAACAGGTATGTACAGTTGTGTGAGTCCTAAAGCAAAACCCTGAGCCCCATTTAAAGGGCACGGGCTATGCTGTAGAACTGATCCAGCTCTAGAAGAGGAAGGGAGGGGAGATATAACAAGTTTTGCTGTTCACATCAGCCAAGAAACAGGACAGGAAAAGTCTGCTGGCAGCCTGGGCCATTGGGATGTGTCAGGCTTGACAAGCAATCTCTCAGCAGGAATTAGTGGGCTGCTTCTACAGATGCACATCAAACCAGATGATGGTAATAGCCTTTCCAGCGTTACCATATAAAAGATTAATAGGTCCTGGCTCCTCCCAGCAATATGCCAAACCACACAGTTCTCTTTTCCTACAAATCACTTACTGTGAATTCTCCAGTGACTGCATCAAACCCCACATGAATCGTGTGTTCAAAGTCAGAAGGGAGGGAGATCTCCGGCCGCTCCTTCTCTTTCTTTTTATTGGCTAGAGGAGACAACAGAAATATCCATCAGTCCTTCAAGAATTCAGATCTCCCTGACAGCTTCCAATTTATCTCAACATCCACAGCCTGTTCTGTGGTAGACTTCAATCTGAGGCAGAATAGCAAGTTACAAAACTTCATCAACCCACTACAGAGCAGACACTGCAACGGAGCAATAAAGATCAGAGTCCAGCATCAAAACAGAGTTTATGAAGAAAACCAGATATGCTGCATGTGTTTCTACTACAAAACCTTACAAGCAAAACCATTTTTATGTTCCTTCCCAGAAAATGAACTAAATGTGGTTTTAATAACAAGCCATGAGCAGGAAGAGAGCAGAATCTGGCAGGTGAGGAGCAGAACTCATGAAAAAACAGGAAAGAAAATAAACCAAAGCAGATGCACTCCACAAATTTTCAAGTTCAGACTTCAAACAAGATTATCATTATGTCTTGGATTAAGTTTATCCATACTCATGACATATTAAAGACTCCACCTTCCTTTTAATATTTACTATATTCAAGAAATTGAGATCAGTTTAAAGAAGAACCACGTTCTACTCAGATTTGCCACTGCTTTTAGTCATAAATTAAGCAGAACCAGAAGAAGGTGATTAAAGCTCCTGTGTTTCCCAGCAGCTACCTTCTGGATCTAAAGCCAGAGATTTGTTTTGTAGCTGATGTTCCACAGTGGCCATACAAATGCCAAACCTCAAGCATTTCAGAAGCCTGAGAGGATGATGCTTAGTATTGCCATTATTTAAGACACTGCTGGAGGTCCAATGCCTGTTTTCTCCAGTGCTCAAGCACTGTTCTCAGTGCCATTACAGAGTTAGTGTTGCACAGAGTAATTTTGGAGGAAGAAAAGGATGAGCTTGAGACATGGAGAAGGAACAGTTTTCAATCACTCTTTCAAACAAAGGGAATGGAGGAAGCTGAATGACAAGAGAGACAGTTGTCAAGAGGAAGGTCTAAAAGTGATAGGACAAATGGGGATGCTTTAAACTAAAAGAGGGGAAATTTAGGTTAGATGTTGAGAAATTCTTTACTCAGAGCATGGTGATGCCCTGGAACTGCTGCCCAGAGAGCTGTGGCTGCCCCAGGCCTGGAGGTGCCCAAGGCCAGGCTGGATAGGGCCCTGGGCAGCCTGAGCTGGTGGGGGACAACCAGCCCGCATCAGGAGGTGGAACTGGATGATCTTTAAGGTCGGTTCCTGCCCAAGCCTTCTGTAATTCCATGAGCCTATGAATGTGGAGAGAAAGCTGAAACGCTGGAGCAGCCACCGCAGAGGTGGAAGCTAGAAGCCAGAAGCAGCTGCTTGTTATCAGATGGTGAGCATCTGCAACATGGAGGCCTGCCAGAGAAGGTCAAGCAGCTGCATCCAGCAGGTATACAGAAAATGTTGCATGCACTAGGAGCAGATAGAAAGCAAGAAAAAAAGATGTGGAGAGAGCCAACTGAAGCATCATGTTATGCAGTCCATTGCTCCAAGCCAGACTCAGTTGTCAGACACAGTCCAGAAGCCTGAAACATAGGGGAGGAGGAAGAGGGCAACTATACCACTACCAGTGTGCAGGAGTGCTGCATGGGAAATCATAGAACCATGGAATATCCCAAGTTGGAGGCCATGAGGTCTCCCCTCTGCCTCTTCTTCTCTGGGAGGAACAAACTTATAGCCTGAATGAGCTTCAGGGACACACATACACAGTTTTGGATGAACTGACTAAATAACGTAAAGGCCTCTGTCACATCAGTAATCCAGATTTATGTTCAAATTTGGTACCCAGTTGGAAAGATCAAGTGTGGGCCTAAAATGGAATATAGAAAAATCAAAGTATCACAAAATCATTGGGTTGGAAGGCATCTTGAAGCCCACCCAGTTTCAACCCCTGCCATGGGCTGGTTGGCCCCTACCAGCTCAGGCTGCCCAGGGTCCCATCCAGCCTGGCCCTGAGCATCTGCACAGATGGGGCAGCCACAGCTCACTGAACAGCCTGTGCAGCACTCTGAGTAGGGAAAATTCCCTAATATTTAATCTGAATCTCCCTTCTTTTAGTTTAAAATCATTCCCTCTTGTCCTATCACTATCAGCCCATGTTAAAAGTCTGTCACCCTCCTGTTTCTAAGCTCCCTTTATGTACTGGAAGGCTGCAATGAGGTCCCCCCAGAGCCTTCTCATCTCCAGACTGAAAGAGGAAGACAGCTTTCTGCATTTATGTTGCTTTCATACTCCTGCAGCAGTTAGTGCTTTCCCCACAACCTTACAGTTTCTTGCAACCACTTCCTACAGATTCTCAACTGTCTGCATTTTTCCTGACTCTCAGTAACAATTTGAGACAGCTCTACAAATTCTTGCTAAAATCACTTTGCCTTAGCTATAACGTTACAGCAGGTGAAACCATAAATGTTCTCTTGTACACTTTATTAAATCTGCCTGAATGCCACTTTCAGGGTTTTGTAGTGCCCACATTGACTTAGAGCCTCATGTGAATGCACATGGAGGTGGCACATGAATTCAGAAGCATTCCTCCAGGATTCCCAGAAGACAATGCATTCCACAAGCTCTTGTTCAAAAATCTAACAGACCTACAAGTCTAAATGCATTCAAACATTAATAATTGCTTTCCGTGGTAGAGATGTATGTCATGGCAGGAGGCATATAACTGAAAAGAATTAAAGAGATGGGCTCTCAAGTCTCACTGAACATGTACTCCCCATCTACAGTGATCATGTTATCCATGCAGCGAGTCAAAAAGCCCTGAAGGATCTCAAATAAAACAAAATAAATAGAAGAGAAACTTATACTTGCTTGGGAAGGTCTATCTATCACTAAGTGCATCATCACCACAAACATCTTACCACCTCCCCATTCAAAGCCTCACACGTTTGATGCTGTGAAAAGAGCATGACTTCCATCATGATGCTCTGACAAGTTGGGCTGCAGCTTGGAAGCACAGCATCCTCCAGTAAAGAAAGGCCATGGGCCCATCCTGAATGTCTTCTTCACTGGTAAATTTAAGGAAAGCGTTCCCCTTTCACATGCAAGACACCACACATCTGCAGCAGTGTAACCCCCACGGAAAGGGCTCGTAGGCACCAGACATCATTACTTCATGGTACCACTCTGACTCTTTGTGAATCAGTAGCAGAGCTCAGCAAACATCAGCAGAACAAAATGTGCCACGTGCGCCTGGTTCGTACACCCCAAGAAGTGACTGAACCCAAAAAGACTTGAATGGGAGCATGCATTTGGAGAGCTTCCATCCAGTATTAAAGGTGAGGGTTAGGCTGGGACATTAGAACTACAAATTACACTTTACACTCACAGACAAAGCACAGCACTTCCAAAGCAGCCTGGCGAGGAGATGTAACTCAAGAGAAGCGTGTGCACACATATAAAGGCATTTCAGATTTTTGCAGGCACAAATCATTGTCTTCTTTGATTTAGGACACAAAGTCACACAACACTCCAAATCACATTACTCTGAGTGTCCAGCCAAACCAGCAAACACCACTTCAATTCATTCAGGCACAGACCAAACAGACTGTCAGAGCACCTGAGAATTTTACTAACAGTTAAGCAGCAGGAGGGAATTTAGTTGTCATCTGAAAAATGTTCCTAAAGTGAAAATCAGCCAATCAGAAGTGGAGGTGATGGTGTTAAAGCCAGTTTTTGCTTGACAAGAATTGTAGGACAGAAGCAGTCGTTCTAGTTTGGGCAGGTGTATTGCAACAGAAGGCTCTGCTGGGCTTGGCTAAGCAAAAATCTCTCATGTCTCGAAGCATCTGCCACATTGGCCAAACTTCAGAACATGCAGGCTTAAATCTTAGTATTAGTGGTAGTGTCTCATTTACCTGAGCTGTTTACCATATCAGTTCTCCTTTAAATTCTACACTATTTAATGCTGTGTTTATTTTTGTCTTACACATTTCAGGTTATTTCATTGGTTTTTTTGCAACTGCTGACCCTAGAGGTTTTAGAAACATTGTTAAGTAAGCTGACACCGAAATCTGACAGTTCTTCAGGATTAATACACATAATGGCAAGTTCTAACCAGTATCCTGCAAATGTTTAATAGAGTTCATGGGTTCCTGGGCTGCAGAATTAAAAATCAATGTCTATAAAACAATCCAAGTTCTCCCTGAACCTGTATATCTGTGATTTAAATTAGCACACCAATTAGACTTTGTTCTATAACAAAAAAAAAATCAAGGAGGCAGCCTCCTTCCTGAAGGCAAGCAAGTTGCAGGTACTTAGACTTTCAGTTATCCAATGTTTAGATACCAGATGCAGACTCTGATGTACCAGAAAGAGAAGTCCAAAAAATAGGTCAGATATAAAAAGAAATCAGCAGATAACAGATGATCGAAATTTTTTCCTTATATCATTTTGAGATTCATGAGAGGACTCTGAAATTATCTGGATCGTTATGATTCAGAATTTCAATTCACAGCTTCTCTCTCTATTTCCATCTGTTGTAGTGCCTGTAAAAGGAGAAAATTCCTTCCCTTCACAAGAATCGTGCAACAATTTGTGGTGAGAAATTATTTGTAACAGCAAGTAGAAAATGCATGACACAAAAACTAGAATAAATGAGAAATTACACCTTTGACTGTAAGCCTGTCACAGCAGACCATGCAGTAACACACAACAGTCCTGGCAGGAAATGGACTGTTGCTCATGCTTTACACAAACTACTTGCTGTAACAAGAAACAGGCAAAAAGCTTCCCCTTTCCCACCAAAGGAACTGTCAATTGCAGTTGTAACTGATCTGCTTGTTACTGGGAACAACATTTATATTATTTTTAACATCATTAAGGATAAGTCAGGCTGGGAGCTGCAGAGCTAGTCCTACCTTTCAGGGATGCTGTTCTCATAATTTAAGGGGGAAAAAGCACAAAAACAGGGTTAAGAGGGATAGATTAATTGTGGCAGAATTAATCATTAGGAAAAGAAAACAGAACTCCAGCCAGTATCTCATACACCCCAAAATGACCACGACAGCAGTGCAAGAAATGAGCATGAGCCATCCCCCAAACCATCGTTAAGCAACAGACATCCAGAGCAAAACTGAGACGTGAGGTTTACAAGAAAAGTCGCAGTACTGTACTTTTATCTCCTTGTAAAATAGATCGGTAGAATCGGTGGTCCCTCTTCTTCTTTTCTTCTGGGTGGGGAGGCAAAGGTTTTGAGCCATGGTTTAAAGTCCCAGCGTCTTTGCTTCCCGACCCAATCATAGTGCTGGTATTTCTCATCGGAGGAGCAGGTGGTTTGTCTTCTGTTTCAACTCCATTGTTGGACATCTTCAGACGTAGAGGCCGTTACTAGCAAAGGAGGAAGAAAAGAAGTCAGAAGCTTTGTGGTTTGTTGGGTTAGTTGCTTTTCTTTTCTTTTTTTTTTTTTGTAAATTAGAATCACATGCTATCAAATAAACCACACACACGTATTTTCAGAGAAACCTGTAGCCTCACACCAATGCAAAGTGTCAGCACAAATTCCACTTAAGATCCAAATCATTTCTATTAAGATTACATTCAAGAGTTTCAGTTGCTGATTATCACAAAAAGTTTACTGCAGGGTACAGCCAGATCTCAAGTATACCATGAAGCAGAAGTGTAGAGTGAGCAGGAAGAGCAGCAAATACCAGGTAGCAAAGAGCAGGGATACCTGACAGCAGCCAAGATAATCATGCAACCATTGAGGTTGGAAAAGACCCTAAGATCATCAAGTCCAACTGCCAACCCATCTCCACCATGTCCACTAACCACATCCCTCAGTGCCACCTCCCCACAGTTCCTAAACACCTCCAAGCACTGTGTCTCCACCACCACCCTGGGCAGCCTATTCCAATGCTTGATCACTTTTCCAGAAATACTTTCTTCCTAATAAGACCTCTCTGATCCATTCTAGCTCTGCCAAAATCTGCCTCAACAGGTTTGCATCAACCTCCAGCACAAGCAGTAACACAATGCAACAGGGACTGAAGTTTGCAATGAAAGAGCTTGGATGCAGCCACTCAGGCTCCACCACTGAAAATGTGGTGAAATGTTCCAGAGGGAGATGGGCAGAAAGCATCAGAGCTGCGTCCACGTCACCTCCATATCAAGTCCTGCAGTGCTTGCTGGCCTTCCTGCCCTAGCAGCACACTTGAAGCACAATTCAGGCAGCCAGAACGTTGATCCTCAACATACACATTAATCTGTAAATCAGCACAGTAAATAAACCCTGTGAGGATTTAAAGACGGAAGCTTGTGAACTGGGTAATAGATTATTCTGCAACTACTAGTTTGTTCCACCCAAATGACATCAGCCTGACTTCAGAAGCGGTCTGGCTGCAGAGGGATCCTTCTGGAGACTGAAATTCTGCATTATGCTCTCAACAGAAAGTTGGGAGTTAACCAAAGGACAGAGACCAAAGGAGGAACAATTTTGTTTGGGTGGAAAAGTTCAACAGCTTTCTGAATTTCACAAGCAATAGGGGAAGATGTTTCACTCCGGGAGATTATGCGGCAGTGGAAAGCAAGAATTGGTTTGCTCTCTGCAAGCAAGAAGTCAGCTTACAAAGCCTGCTGGCCCAGGGAGTTGCTTTTTCATACGATGGACTCAGAGGAACTGCACTGAAGTGGATTTTAATACTCTGGGTTACACTTCAAACAGATCCCACAACCACACTGAGGTCTTCTTCAAAGACTTTTTAGGTCCAACTAATGATGTTGGACTCAGAGCATGCTTTACTACAATTTCCCTCTGCTGCATGGAGTCAACAGAAAGCAAATGCTGACCACTACAGGCACTTACTAGCAACAAGCTGGACCTTGCTGAAAGCAGTGGTTCCTTGGCTATTGCCTGCCAAGCCACAGTTGGTCTGCAGATCCATATTCGTGTATTTGTTTCATGGTTTCTTCAAAGATGCACTTAAGCAGGAGGGCTGGCAGAGGTGCACAGCCCATAAGGCTATGGACAACCCTTCATACACAGATTTTTAAGTTTGATTCCATCCCTGCTTCCTCCTAACAAAGCTACACAATGGTATTTGAAATTACAGACTAGCACTTGGGGTATTTATTTTAATAGTGAGACAGTTTGGGCATTTGGGAGAGGTGTCAGAAATGAGTTGAGCACTTGCACGGGTATGCAAGGACATGTGCCCTGTTTATCTCCCATTGCTCCTGCTTTAGACTCATGCCATTTTCCAGTGTAAAAACTTAGCAGAAGTAAGTAACAGAGGGTCTGACAGCAACAAAGTAAAGCAAATTATTTCCTCTCTATCCAAGCAGGGGGGCAAAAGAATTCTAACCTTAAACTCAACTGCAAGTTGAGTTAGTTGAGCAAGTTTGGCAGCCACTGTTGCTCACATACTTTGTGCAACACGAAGACATTGAGGACTCCTTGACAGGCTTTGCACATTGCCACGTCAGTGGTGTCAGCACCAAACTGGAACTACTAAACAATTTGAAAAGCCAAAATCAGAAGTGTCATGGAAGATCTGCATTCTTCACTTACTTGATCAGTGGAAAGCAAATTGCTGCAAGGATGCTAGGAATATGTATCCAACAGGTAAAATGAATGTTGGCAGCTCTACACTTGCCAAATGACCCTCTCCATCCTCGCAACTGCTGCAACACTGATTTACCCCAGGGTGACCTGCATACAGCAGCATCCAAGAATTCCACCAGCCAAAAAAAAAATTCCAGCAGTCTGTCTCCTATGGAGAGGTAAGGAGGTGGGGATGAGATTCCTGTAGTGGGAAATGGATGCAAAACCAGAGAGGAACATGGGAGAAGGAAGGGAATAGAACAGCAAGGCTGAAGAAAAAGAAATGAGAAGAGCACGAAAATCCCACAGATAATAGGCAAAGGTTGGTGTAATACTAGGGGGAGGTAAAAGAGAATGTAAGCAAAATAAGACCATGAAAATCCTCCCAACGTCAAGCATCTTCATGCCCAGCTGCATCAGTGCAAAACACCATGGAAATCTGCTTCCATTTTCTTTAGTGTAAGAGAGCTTTTCAAAACCACCAGTCAGAAAGGACAGAGTACAAGTGAATTACTGTTTTATGGCCGGGCTGGAAGCACCGGCAGTACAAGCTCTTGTTTACGTTCTGCTATTCCCCAAAAGAGAAACTAACTACTGAGAAGTCACATATTTTACAACGAACAATGCTTGTTTATATGTATTTGGTAGCTGCAGCTTTCACAAGGACAAAGCCTACAGCACAGCCTTGCCTTTCCTTTCTATCACTCAAGTCCCCAAATCCCTCTTGCAATCCAACTGTTATGTGTCACAAGAAATATTTAATCTGCTTGGAGACCAAAGGTGGGAGAAATCCTTCAACCTACCAAATTAAGAGACTGCTTCTGCAGCAGTTAGCCCTTGCAATAAGTACTGCTATTCTTGGGGGACCCCATAAGGCTTTTTCCACAACATATTTACATGAAAAATTAAGAATCTGCTTCAGACATCTCTCTGTAATATGGAAACATGGTCTACCCTGGAGTCAATGTTGTTGCGCTTTAAACTCTTGCGTGCTTCAAAGTTTTTGGATGAAGCTCTGCTCTGACAGGACCACATTTATCTCCCCACGGCCTCGCAGCACCAATGTGGCTACAGAGGCAGCCCTCATCATGTAGCCTGGTTGACTGCTCAAATTCTTTCCTCCCAAAAATAATCTCCTTGTAAGCAAAACTGAAGCAACTTCCCTTGCGTAGAGGCTCTGCTAAATTTCAGAGCAGCAGGCAATTGCTTCAGCAGTTGGCAAAACCTTAGAGGTGAAGTGAGTCACTGCTCCACACGATCCATCCCAACAGGAATGCACTGGACTGAGCTTCCTTCCCTCTCCACATCATGCTGCTCATGCTGAACTCCGAGAGAAATTCATCTTATGTTTCAGCAGCAGGACTATAAACGAACAGTGGAAGCAGTTACCCAGCGCGTGAACTTTTCAACTGCCGTTGGATGAGGGAGCACATGGTAGATGCAGACACCATTATTCTCTACAACTATATGTTAAAATAGCAGCACTCAAAGCAAACCAGACACCACTAGGAAAGCATAGTCTAGGACTATGATTTCTGCAGCTATTCCAGTGCACTGAAAGACAGAAGACCAGGTTGTTTCAGCAGACAGCCCTAATGAAAATAAAAGTTTTACATATACTGTGACTTTTAACAGTTTTACACAACTTTACACAGGCTATGACTACTGTGAGTCAAGTTACAGAATCACAGAATCATTAAGGCTGCACAAGCCCACTAAGATCATCTAGTCCAACCATGAACCCATAACCACCATGCCTACTAAAGCATGTCCCTCAAAAGGACTGTGGAGGAAAAGGACCTGGGGTTGTTAGTTGACCAGCAACTGAACACCAGCCAAGAGCGTGCTGGGTGGTTAAGAAGGTCAATGGCATCCAAGCTTGTATCAGAAGTTATGGTGGCCTCCAGGAGCTCTCTGTCCCTATCCATCAGCTTTTGAAGCCCATGAGATTGCCCCAGCCTCAACAGAACCAAACAGCAAACCTGACAAATCCTTCTCACACTTCTACGAAACATTTCTGCATCTGGGAAAAATGGATAGACTGTGTGCACGGAGGCAAGCAACTCAGGAAACTGCCTGGCAGCTCAAGACGGGACACATGGTGTTATCAGGACAGTAGAGACACCCAAAATCCCAACAGTGGCAGTCAGAGTGTGCAGATATGCACATATCTGAGCAGGTCTGCTTATCAGTATTACACGGGTACGGCTCAAAATCCTTTACTTTCTGCTTCTTTCCTACAGTAACAGTCACAGGCTATCCAGTTCGTCTTGCAGAGTGGGACCTCAACATATGTGGAGCCCTCTGGCACTCCTGTATTTAAGACACATGCATGAAAATGAAAGAGAGCAAAGATCCTTCATTTATGCCATTTTTTGCCTCTGGTAAACAAGCTCATTTCAAACCTGCTCTAGTCATAGGTGTCTCTGTTTATAGCAGGGAGGATGGATTAGATGACCTTTATGGGTCAATTCCAACTCAAGCGATTCTATGGAACCTGATGCTCCACGCTAAACTGTAAGTTTCTGTTGAGTTGGTTGTGTTTTCTTTGCATTCCTTGAGCAAGGCAGGAAAATAAAAAATCATGAGAGTTGAAAACCTGTGCTACAGTAGATGCAACAAAGAAAACTGCCCAACACACACTAATGGCTGGAGTCAACACAAAAACTCATAAAACAGCCATCTATAATTCATGCAGTCTGGCAAGACAGTAGCTGTAAGTTACTCACTACGACTTACAGATGAATTAATGATATGAAAAGAGAGGGGGGAGGAGGATGCTCAGCAA